AATATATTTAAAAAATAATATAGTACATATTATATACATATATATATGATCGTACATCAAGAGATCTACTTGTTGATGGTTGCTGTTGGTGTATACCACTACCACCTGTCGGTACTTGTCGATTATCACCGGCACTACCAATATCAGCTATAAAAAATGAAAATAATGCATAATACATACGTCATACATACACTACACATGTCTATATAGGTACATATGTCTATATATAAATATTTAATATCCTACTTTAATGAAAAAATTTAAAACATGTTGAACATTCTAGTATTAATGTTTCAATTACTGATATTATTACTTGAAGCTTTTTCTTTTTGCTGACGTTGTGCTTCTTGTTGCTGCTGTGATGGTTGGCTTTGAGATACTTGGTGTCGTAGATTCCATGCTGTTTGTGGTACTTGCTGTGGCTGTTGCGGTAATTTTTCTTGAGGTACTTGTCGTCGCGAACCCCATGCTGTTTGTGGTTGTTGTGCTTGCTGTGGCTGTCGCCATGGGCCCCATACTGTTTGTTGTCGCTGTTGCGGTGGTTGGCTCTGAGGTACTTGTTGTCGCGGACCCCATGCTGTTTGTGGTTGTTGTGCTTGCTGTGGCTGTTGCCATGGAACCTGTGCTACTGTTTGTTGCTGTACTTGAGGTATTTGATATGACGTCTGAGGTGCTTTCTGGTGGGAAGCCCATGCTCCTTGTAGTTGTGGCTGCTGCTGTTGTTGTGGTGGGCTTTGCTGCTTTTGTAGACCCCGTGCAACTTCCTGTTCGCTCCGTAATATTGGTGCTTGTGGACCTTTAGCTACTTTCTGTTGCTGTTGTGGACCTTTAAACTCCTGCTGTGATGAACCAGGCAGTGCTTGCCCTGAAGTTTCCTTTTTCTCCTGTTTTTGTTCCTTCTCTTCTTGCCTCTGTTGCAAGGCCTGTTGTTCGCTAGAATCATCTTGTGAGGTTGATGCAGCAGCATCAGCAGCTGCTTCTGCCTGCTTCCTCTTCGTTCCTATAATTTACACACACACACACATACACACACATATTATTATTATTCTTTATTAAACACATTTTTCTCAAAGATCATGTACAATTCAAGTTTTAAGATTACACTTGAACCTCTCAGTTAATTCAATTATAAAAAGATTAAATGCTTTAAATATATAAATAATAATAAAATTAATCAGTTCTTTTTACTCGAATCACATTACCCCTAGTAGCACAGTGACGTTAAATGACGTTTTAATGACGTCTAGAGACGTCTAGAGATGTCATTAAAACGTCATTTAACGTCACTGTGCTACTGGGGACACTTTCTACATTTAAAGTAAAATAAGTATATTGAACATTAGGGAAAAAGAACAAAGCTAAAATATACAAACAATTTCGCAAAAAAAATCTAATGTCATCTTGATCCCACAAACGCGAGTGTGTACAGCGAGTGTAAATACGTAATATTTTCGATATAGCCCATTTGTGTCACAACTTTGAAATGTCATGACTTTATTATCGGGATTTTGAAAAATGGAAATTTAATCTCACACTTAACATACCGTTAAAATATACATACATCGAATACTTCTTTCATTTGACTTATTTCTATATATAATTCCATTCCCAGCCCATTCCAGCCCTTTTTCTAAATACGAGCAAATAATTCAGGTAATTTCGAGGATTTAAATTATGATCACGGAAATGATCAATTACTGAATAATGCAATTACCGGGGAAAATTAAGAAAGCGGTCTCCGAAAGAATCGCACGTAACAAAATCGGCACGCGTACCTTTCTTTGTCATCCTGCCTTAAATCGATATCATCATCGTAACTTCGGAATATGAAAATTCAAACTCAAACTGCCTGTTCTTAGAACAATATGGATCGACTACTTTATTATTTGACTTATATTTATATATATATTGCGGGCCATTTTCTAAATACGAGCAAATATTTCGGGTAATGGATCAAATTACCATGCACACACATACACACGCATCACGGAAATTATCAATTAATATTGAGTGGAACGATTTACAGGGCAAGCCGTTTCCGGAGCAATCGTGCGTAACGAGCAGCACACGCGTACCTTTCTTCATCATCCTGTCCTTAATGCGGTATCTGGAGCTTCCAAAACGTATCGTGCGTAAATTCACTTGCTGACGCTGCTAGACCGAAGAATATGCCTCTTCTTCTTCTTAATTATTTTATGGCCTTTAAGCAATACTGTTCCAAAGATGGCCAGGACGACCTACTTGTCGTAGAAAAATATGTAGAATAGTCAACGATAGTGATGCCTACTGCGCCGTTACCTGAACCCGACGTCTCGTACCTCGTACTGCCGCGGACTTCTTCAGTTTAATGGAACCTGTCTGACCTGTCTCTCTCAGGGCCGTTTCAAAGGCTTATTGCACCCGGGTGCAGCATGTCCCGCCGCCGGCCTTTTCTACCGATCGCATTTATAAAACATTGCACGATTTTGAATACTTATTTATTGAATACATTGCACGAAATTGATACAAAGCTCTATTTTATATAAAACGCACATGTCTTGCTTTTACTTCAGCAAATTGTTTGATGAGCTGCGATGTTTCTAATTTGCTCGCGATTTCATGCTCAATAGAAATTGTTGCTAAATTCGTTAACCTTTCCTGAGACATAGTCGAACGTAAATAATTTTTTATCAATTTAAGTTTTGAAAACGATCTTTCACCTGAAGCTACGGTGACTGGCAAAGTTAACAATATTCGCAAACCCACGTAAAGATTCGGAAACACTTGTTGCAAATTATTTTTCAATAAATAATTCAGCATTGCACTTGAATTCATATCGGGCATTAGCATTCCTTGCAAGAGTATACAAATTTCATCGTACAACTCGGCACCATCGATATCACTTTCTGTTCCAGCTTTATTTGAAAGTTTTGCTTGCAGTTTCTTGCACTGTTCCAAAATGTGCCCCTTACTCATTTTTTCAAGAGACGAACTATGGCGCAGAAAGTTAAAAGTTTTATTGTGCTGTTTCAATAACTCGAAACGTTGGTTTAAGGAGATTATTGTTGTATCTAAAATATAAAAATAAAAATTTATTTTAAAGTTTTTTTTTAGGATCTGTAATTGTTTTGTCTTTGTGTTCATAATCAAACTGTTTTGTTTTCCCCCTCGGGCGTACTTTCACTGAACTTGGGAAGTCTTCATCAGCTTCAACAATTTTAGCCAATTCCTTAGCACGCGTGACAAAAGTCTTCAAACCCTTCATCAGATCGTTTATATCTGTTAAACTGGTTACGAGATTTTTCAGAACTTCTGCTGATAAAGAAATATATTCATTTCGGAGTCTTGAAGCATTTTACTGACAACATTTACATTCGAAAGAATCTCGTGCCAAATGACGATTGAGCACACGAATTTAAAATTACAGAGTTTTTGTGCTAGACACTGTGCTTCATGGCGAGTTTGGATATCCGTTTTATTGATACTCGTCAGTTCCGTTAAAGCGTCATATATCTCGCCTAATTCATATCGTAATGGCTTTATGGCTTCGATTATACTTTCCCATCTTGTCGCCGAGACTGACTTTAGCGTCAGTTTTGTAATGTGCTGTTTTAGAACACCCCACCTTTTAGTCGATGCTGAGAAAAAATTGTAAAGCGCTTGAACTGTACTGAAGAAATCCACGGTTTGTAAGTTTACTTTGGCTGCATCACAGACAACTAAATTTAAGCTATGAGCAGCGCAAGGAACGAAAAATGCTCGGAAATTGATATCCAGTACTCTCTTTTGCACGCCACGATATTTTCCACTCATATTCGCGCCATTATCGTAACTCTGACCACGTAAATCTTGAATGTTCAAGTTGTAATCTTCGAGAATTTTAAGAAGAAATGTTGTTAAACCTTCTCCGGTGGTTTACAACTAAGAAACTAATTATCACGGTAATTTGTTCTACATGATTTACGTCTGGCGTGCAATCAAGGATCACATAAAAATACTTTGACTGTCTCGCGTTATCCAGTATTATAGATCGTATATTATCTGCAACAAGACAAATTATCTCGTTCTGGATGATATTACCTAAATACGTAGGTACACGTTCGTCATTTTTTCTCTGCTGTATCCTGAGAATATGTCCTGACATTATCGGATCAAACTGAGATATCATTTCTACAGCTTTCAAGAAATTGCCATTATCTGGTTCAAACAGTTTACACGAAGATCCACAAAAAGCTAAATTCTGTTTAGCTAGAAATTTTACGACATGTAAGATACGCTCAAGTACAGAATATGCTTTTGTTCTGCCTGAAATATACGCTGCTCATGTTGATCTATTGTTCTTTCCGTTTTGAACGCTATGGTCAGATCAGTCCACTTTTTGAAATTTTGTATATGTTCTGAACCTTTCTCATGTCTTGACAAGTGACGAGATGCATGTTGCTAATCACAAAAACCGTCGTTACCCAAAGTGCTGTTACAATTCGCAAATAATTTATAACAAAAGCAAAAAATCCTGTTTCGTGAAGGCGAGTACAATAGCCAGCTTCTGTCGCATGTTTCACCGTTTTTAAATATGCGCGTGAAATAAGTATCGGAGAACGATCTGCCATTATTATCTTTGGGATACGACAACTGTTTTCTACAGTTGGGCTTATTTTGTACGAGATATTGCACGTCATTATTCGATAATCGCGATGGCCACTTAGCTGGATCCCCGGGAAAAAAAATTATATATAACTATATATAAACATATAAAATTATGTATAATTATATATAAATATGTATTCTTTTATATAATTTAATATAATTATATCTAGATTCTTATATAAAATTATATAAAATTTTATATAATTATATATAAGTATATATATTTATATATATTTATATATAAGCATATATAATGTACATGCAAATTATATAAGAATCCAAGTAGATTACATATGATTTATATATATAATCATATATAAACTTTAAATTCGGATTATCTTAATAGATGGCATTCGAGAGAGACTCTCTCTTCAGTGGCAAATGGAAAATTACTGCATGGCAATTGGGCAATACCGCCTCAAACAAAAGTTACTCCTCGAATGCCTTCGAAATTCTCGTGGCACGCACCTACATATATACGTACATACACAAGAGAATAAACAAGAATAAAGGAATTCCCTGAATTTTGCAAAAGATACATAAAACATTTTATTCGTGATTGGGGGGAATAACATAGGTTTGTTCGCGTCGCATACTCCAATAAACACCAAAAGCACTTGGATTACGGATAAAAGGTGGCGATTGGAGAAGATAAGTTTTTGGAATGCGTTGGAGGTGACTGACCGGAGAATGGAGTGGACATTCGCTAGCGCCTCTACGTTGTACAAAACATTGAACTAGGTAGCCATGTTCACGAATATTTCCAACAGGTAACACGCGGGACGTCCACGATTCCGAGGAACCCGGAGATATTTAAAGAATATCACTGTTATCAACTAAAAATAAAATAAATTTATAAATTTTTTTTTTAAATTAATCTATTCTTATTGAATTGTTGCCGCTTTTCAACGATGCTAATTAGTTATCTCGTTTGGCTCTTCGTATTGCGAGAGTATACTGTCAGCGCGAGAATCGTATTTAGACAGGTGACAAGTTATTATGATTAATTTTATTAAAGTTTTATCTTGATACGCGATATCAAATCAATGTAAAGATTAAATTTGATACATGTTATTAAAAATATATAATAGTCGAGAATAAATGGCGCGCGCTTTGTAGTGTCTAGTTAATGTTATAACGTCTGCGATAAACGTACTGTCGAGTGTATTAGCTATCAGAAAAAAAATTCGTAGCAATAATTCCATTTTAAAGTGCCGCGATCGAATTGACAACGTTTTTTTTTCTTGCTAATAAATTTGCAAGATAATAAGAGCACAGAATGCGAGATAATAGGCTCGTTTATGGAAAAGTTTGTAAGCAAAACGAACAATATTTGAGAAACAGAGAATGTTTTATAATTTTTAAGTAATTTTTAACTTGGCGGCGACGCTTCATCGATATTCGCGATCACCGCGCTGCAAGAACGATCGAAGAAATTTTTACAAACGATACAATTTAACGTTAATTTTCTGTTAAGTAGAGATTATGAAAAATAGAGAAGCACGCGTACAAATAAATTTGAAATATTTAGCGATGATCCGATGAATTATGTGCCTTTTTTTAACGAAAAAACATAATTGTATTTGTATCACGTATTACTTGCGCGCCTCGCTGCCGCGTAGTCGGGAGGGCGCAGTCGAACGCGATTGGCTCCTCGCGAGTCGAGCCCACGGATCCGGCCAATCACGTTCGGCCGCTCCGAGCCGCTGGCGCGGCGTACGCACTAGACGGCAGACGGCATACTAGGCGCGACCGTTCGTTTGAACGCAACGTACCGTCAAAGTCGACGCACGGCCGGTTGTTCTTGTCGGCGAGCGGCATTGCAGCTTGTTTCCATCAATCCTCAGAGTACCGTGTTTACCTGCGGAAGTCATTCTTCCGATGAATTTCACACAGGTAAGAAGTGATCGTGATCTGCGCGTCCGTCGCCGTGCTTTGTGCTACGTGTTATTCGGAACGCGCTTATTCGTGCGATTGGCACTCCTGCTCCTCGTTTCGCGGGCAGCAAGATCGGCTACGCGAGTACGCGCCGACCGCCGTTCAACAATTCGCGAGTGTGTCAAAAAGCGTTTGTCGGAATAAACGTGTCGCGCGAATCGCTTGCTCGAGACGGAGGCGTCGGAGACGTCGAGGCGGAGACGTCGCGAGACGGAGACGTTGAGGCGAAGACGGCAATTAATTGTGAACAATTTGCTTTCGTTGTGATATTCGCGAGCGATAATCGTGGCACTCGTCCCGTCATATTTCTGGACTCGAATGTAGCATTCGTGCATTTATCTCGATCGTGTCGCGCTTTGAACGCTGTGCCGGAATTGTGTGATTTATCTCCGCGTCTATCCGTAGGGAAAAAGAGGGCTGAGTTATTATATTGTCATAACGAGTGATTCGCGAATAACGGAGCGCCATGATACACCGCCCGTTCGTGAATGCTTCGTAATTTCGTGTATCTCGCGTCGCGCAAGTTAGCGGCCGGCAGTCACGATTTTTCGTCGTGCAAATTAATAATGCATATTAATAATGCAGTTTTACTTTCGTGAGATTTACGAGATTTTTATAATAATTATTATTATTATTTTTATTATTTTATTTTTTTAATTATTTTTTTATTAACTTATTTAATGAAAAAGAAGACAATTATTAATTGTTTCAATTTTATTCTAATTCTTTGTAGTCTATCCATATTTATATGTGTATCGATAACTTGATTTTATATTACCTGCTTTTATATTTCACAGTAAAAGTACTTCCTTTCCCTGGAGTACGACCTTGGCGAGGTGGGAAGGTCCAGTACCCCGAGGATGTTACCCAAGCAAAACTCTTGTTCTGCTTGGGTAAAAATCCAAAAACGGGGAAGCTATAACGTACCCTCGTCCGCCGATTTAATTGAACAAACGAACCGTAGCTGGTTCGTCGCGTTTGTTTCGGGAGTGCCGTATAAGTAATCGGACTAAAGGACTTTTTTAAAGCCCATTTTAAGAATATTACGGAGTATAGAATATTCTTCTCGTGGGCTTTATAAACGGGAGTGCCGTACAGCATCGCGCGAAAGACTTCTACTTGATAATTAGTCCGCGCGCGATTGTAGTTTATTATCCGCGAGAGTTTCTCGCGAGTGTCCTGTGCGGTGAGACGAGGAGGAGAAGGAGGTCGAGGCCTGGACATCCTGAGAGAAGGAGGAGGTCTGGGAGAGACATCGGGCACCGGCGGAGCAACCTTGGGGTGAGTATCATCTCATCTTATCTAACTACACAATAATTTCTTTTCCATTTATTTAGATTGTTTTATCTAGATAAGTTAGAAATAATTAGAAAAAGAGAAATTATCCAAATTTTTATTAAAGTTTCTTTTTGTAGATATCTTTTTCGAAAAATAGATAATTATATTGTTAAATATCTTATTAAAAGACATTAGAGACGCGTAAGAATTATCTTTTAAAATGTTGATTATTATTTTGAACGTTTTTTTAATTTGAATCTTATGTTCGTATGTTACAGTATCATCGTAGCTACATGGCTGAGTGACTCCGTCCGTTGCATATTGAGTCGGTGAGTCAAAACATTTTTTTATTGAGGTAATAAATACGATTAATTAAAATATAGAGCAAATGTTTTTCAGTATATGTCGAATTATGACAATAAATTGCAGTATAAAAAATCGTAGATCTATTGCCTTTAAAATGAATAAATGTAAAAAAAACTTTTATTGTAAATAAAAGAGGACCGTCGATCGTAATCGGCAGGGATGGTGGAGGGCCTCTGGCCTCGGATAAAATCAGATAGAAACAGGTCATATCAGAGGATATTTAAATTAACATTTTTAAACTAAATGCAATATTGTCAAATTAAATATATTTTAATAAAACATATTTTGATAAAACATTTGCACGATTGATTCAATAATTGTAATTAAATTAATGTTAAGCAAAACATTAAAAAATATCTTTTAATAGCTATTATTATTATTATTATTATTATTACTATTATTATCATATTTTACTAACAAAAAAATACATTTGTTACAAAGAAAATTTATTTCTTATTAAGTATAATCGAAAATAAAATGCAAGTATTGAAATGCCCCTTTTTAATTTAAATGCAAATATTATAAGAAAGAAGGCACACACATGATTACAGAAACAGTTTCTAACAATAGTTCTCGATACATAAATTAGATATATTAGTGGCTCAATTTATATCCTCATTAATGCAGGTTTATGGGCCCTAGGCTCCCCGAACCCTGAACAGCAAATAAGCATAAGGATGCCATGCCTTTCCTCTACTTTGTCTGTGTTGAATCATTTTTTTCCAGCATGTAAATTAAGTGGATACTTGCAATATATCGGAGTTATATATATCTATTGTTGTCGCTTTTCCGCGATGCCGATTAGTTTTCTCGTTGCGCTTACTTTGTGAGTGGTCATCTATCATCGCATATTTTGACAATTGTGTGTATTAAAAGTTAATAGTGTAATACACTATAGTAACAAACACTAGTAACAATATAAAATATTATACTGTTACACTATTATACTCTATATTAACCCCTTAATACACACAATTGTCAAAATATGCAATGATAGCCGCTCACGAAGTATGCGTAATAACGATTTAATAAAAGCTAAATAGCGCGTCTGTGATGTCTAGTTTATAAAAATTATTAAGATATCTCAAATTTTTCGATGACCAACATAGAAATCTTGTAAGTAATTAGCAGTATTAAATTCATAATAATTAAAAATTTATATCGTTTTCGGTGTAAAATTCGGTAAACATGTATATTAATGCATATACTCTTTAATTATATAAAAGGATTTTTAAATCTATAAATGGAATATAATATGTATATACATATACGAAAAGTGTATACGAAATAACGCGCTCGATCGATACTTTAGCATTCTCTCTCGATTCGGTTGAGCTCTGGTGACAAGAGCAAATAGTACGAATTGTACGCTACTAGATAGCGCCTCGGGTACTTTTTCAAAATTGCAATCAGTAGTAAGAGCGTAGCGGTACGAGACAGGTGAGATGAGAGCCGGTGGTTCAGACTTTTTGAAAATTCTATGCGATATTCGCGAAAGTAAATCCGACTTCGTTCCCAGACTAAAAGACTTACAATTAGTGAATTTCAAGACTTGAAATTCCTATGATAAGAGATGATGGACACTTTATCCGGTTCCGCACTTTCAACGCGCGAAATCAGACAATCGTCGATTTCCCAAGTAAGTACATTTATTTAATCCGCTAACCTTTAACTCGCACTCAAGTGGGTATACATTGCGCGCGTCATTATTATCTGATATGACGGATGTATCTCCATATCTTTTCTATTGGTTACAAAAAAGATAAAAGAATTAAGCAAGTACGCTTTAATAAAGCTTCTTTCGTTATTGGGCAAAAGTAGGGCGTCGGAAATTGGGCTTAAGATGGTTCAATACGTAGGCACGAAATTAATGTTTGGCGAGCCACTTGTTTGTTCTTCGATATATTGTTTTTTAATTCTAAATTTTGTACTTGTGACTAAGGCTGCGGTCTACTTGACGCTATAAATGATGCTTTGAAGCATTTTTCTTCTCCTTCTTTCTTTATTGAAAGAAAAGAGAAGAGAAATGCTTCGAAGCATTTGTAGCGTCAAGTGGACCGTAGCCTAAAACATCGAGGGAAGCCCGTCGTTCGTCCTAAGCTATTAGGGTAATAGTTCATTTGTCGTATGACAATTTTTTTAAACATATTGATTGACTACAAGAGAGAGGATTTCTAGAAACTCGAGAACTTTTCTATTTTGTAGCCAATTAACGTGCTTAAAAAATTTGTCGTACAATATGAAATATCAGCCATATTCTTCCACTTTTAAATATCTCCAGAACTAATCTTTAAATCGTAATCCCTATATATAATCATATCTCCCCAAAATAAAATCGATTTATGAAATTAAATGAATCGTGATATTTTATTATTCGTGGTTCTGAAACGTAATTTTTGAGAACTTTTTCACTTGCAATCGTTTACAATGAAAATTATTGTTTATTCTTTTTTAAGAAAAATCGATTCCAGCGATTCATTATAGAAATCACATTGATAATATATAATTATTTCAGTATAAAAAGAACCATTTATTACAGCGGTTTTTGACTGGAAACGTTCTCTTACTAATTGATAAACACAAACAATGAATTTATTTAGATATTTAGCGTGTATCGTGTACATCTTAAACTTTATTTTTTAGAACAAGATCAATAATTTTCTGTTGTGAGTGAAAGATAGAGCAAAATTCTATTTGGCACAGAATGGCATAGAGACGTCAATTGTCACTTTTCTCTATGAAATTTGCATAGACAGAGTTGCTTCACAGCGATCGTAGAACACAAATTTTATTTCTCGTAAAGTCTCTGGTTTCCGTGAGACCGCGACGCGTTGTTCCTGCGCGGAACGATTCGATTAACGAAAAGCAAACGGGTAGTTTATTTTCCGCATTGAGATCCGAGCAAGACGCGCCTCTTAACTTCGATACGATGCAATATTGTATCCGCTCGCGGTGCATCTGGAATCGAATAGCACATCATACGAGGGGGTGATGAGCGGAGGACTGAGGAGAGCACATACGTAAGGAGAGGTGGTGTTGATAGCGCTAACAGCGCCAAAGGAGGGTATAACGCATCAAGGTAGAGTCGATGATGGAGAAATGGGTGTGGGGGTGGCGGCTGCTAGGTAGAGCCGGAGCTCGTGGTGGCGAGTGGCGGTAATGGTGGTGGTAGTGTGCACGAAATATATATCAGGGAGAAAGAGACAGAAAGAGACAGGAGAGAGAGAGTATGCGTGTGTGTGTGTGTTTGCGCGCGCGTGTATGCATGTGGGAGAAAGATAGAGAGTAAAGTGGAGGAAGATGTGGAGGAACGGCGCGGGCGCTGATTGGTAGCAGAATCGATTAGCCAAGCCGAGCTAAACCTCCGGTACCGCGGCATGGTTCGGCGTGGCGACGCCACGAATTTCCCGAATGGGGGTTTCCCGTTGGGGCGGACCCCGCCGAACCCGGAGAACACCCCGGCCCTCTTCGCCATGGCAACCCGACCAATTCGCCAACCGCCGGCAACCGAGACTGACCTACCGTGTGTTCCTCGGCTTATTTTTCTCCTATCTGCCTCCGCGCGTTCCTCTTCCCTCGGTTCTCCTCCTCTTCCTCCTCCATCGCACCACGACCGTTCTTTGTGTCTCCGTGCCGTTCCCTCGTCTCGTTTTTTTTTCTCTCCTGGTTTCGTTTGCTCACACGCGTTTATACATACGTAATGCGCGAGGAGCGGGAGAGAAGAGCTCCATTTTTTTCCCCCTGATTCCTCTTCGATTGTCTTCCATCCGTTTCCCTCTTGCTGTCTCTCTTCCTCCCTATCTCTTCGGTTGTACGTTTTTCGTACGCGATCAAGAAGACGAACACAAACGCATTATAGAGAAATGGGAGCCACATTGATTTTGCCGACGACTGATACAACCCCGTCGGCACGTTTAATTAGAACATGGCGACTTTAATACAAGCGCACGACAACAAGAACAACAACAGCGCTCCCCCCGATTTCCCGGGTGCGATTCCCGCGATTCTCTCGGGTCTATTCCGTTGTATCTTCTCCGATTCCGCTATCATGCTAGCGATGAGAAACCGTGTCCTTCGGTCTTCGACAGGAGGGCGGGGGGGAGAGAGGGGGGATCGCTTATCTATCTAACCTAACGCGTTCTACGCTAGTGCCAGACATCCCTCGTTCATCCACTCATCCATCATTGTCATCGTCGTCATCGTACAGTCATCGTAGTTATTATTCATCTCCATTCTCGAAATCACGCCTGCTCGAGTTCACGCGCACACCTCATACTTTGCACACAAATACGTAATACGCACGCAAACACCTTTACTCCATTCTCTCTTTCTTTTTCTCCTGACACTCATTTTTCGTCGCATCCTCGCGCTAAGACTAAATTCTCTACACGCCTAAGCTACACATGAAAACACCCTATCTACAATGAGCGCCCTTCGCGCTCGCGACCCGTCGGACCGATCCGGAAACCATTTGCTGGATAACGACCGTTTCCCGTCGCGGTGCCGATCGCACGATCGGTCCCACGGGCCGTCCCAGGGGGGGCCGTGCTAATCGTTAAAATTACTCTAGGAATGCTTAGGGCCACTTACGAATAGTATGGTACAGTATACGTCTTAAAGGAGTTACGTTTCTCTCCGACACGAGGTACGCCTGCCTTCCTCCCGGGACGGATTGCCGACACGCGTCGATTAGGAAGTTCCAATAATCGCGAAGAAAAATCATATCTGTTTCATGTTCTTCCGGTTGTCCGTCGGGCGCCTATGCTCTTTAATTCTATGTTCGCGGATTTCAGTGACTTCTAAGCATCGATGTTCAGATTATTGAAAAACAAAAATTAGTGATAAGCAAGCAAGATGCAAGTCTCAGATAAAAGTTTACATATTATCAGTATTTATGGCCAATCTATACTGCAAGTCCTTCCATTTTTTCTTTAATTTTTTTTTGGTTGGAGTAGTCTATTCAAATAATAGACTCTGTACTATTATTCAAATATTAGATTATTTTTAAATTTTTATTTTTTAGTATTTTGATTGTTAATAAAGAAGACAAAAAGTTAAGCACTAAACAATGTATATTTATATGTCATTAAACGTAAAACTGTTATAAAACTATTTCTTTATTAATCGCCAAAACGCGAACTTTTCGAATGATTTTATTTAATTACGATACAACAATTCCACAAACAGATTATTATCGAACCTTTGCTTCGTTCTTGGTACTTATAATAATATAATGTATAATTCAATAACGTCGTTTTATCAGCAGATTTTTAACAGGTTAAATAACAAATCAATCAAATAGTAATTTTTTTCCTTTTTTGAAATCTGTACTGCAACTTTTTCCAACTAGTGTAATCTAATTAATGCTAGACAATGCAAAAAAAGTTCAGTGTTTAATGGACATCTCCGACATTTATATCCTCGTAGCTACTTTTTCCGGAATAGTTGGATTAAAAATTATTATTTATGCGATTCAATACGATGGTCTTTGTTCCGAAGTACGAATCTGTATGCGCTGTCTGATCAGGATCGAATACAGTTTCGGCAATCCGTCCTTCGTCTCGACATGGGTAGAGCGGCCACATATTTCACGCGATTCTAAAAAGGATGGGGGTGAAAGTTCGATTCTGATTTGCGTGTGCCGTCAATTGATATGACTTAAACGTTGTACTTTTTGATTATCGTCTACCTCTCTCGATGTGACGGATGATGAGAATATACGGTTAACGCGGTTTCGTTGTAAAATTACGTTAAAGGAACGAGCGATTCACACTTAAGCAAGCACCGACCATATGCTGACGAATAGTTGTACAAATATTATGCGTTCGATGATAGTTTCTCGCACGCCCATCGCTCGATTTGTTCCTATGTAGCGTCTCTACCCATTTCTTCACGTAACAAATAAGTTAAAAGAGTTTATGATACACGCGTATTAGCTTTGGCCTAAATCGAACATGAGTACATTCTGCGGAACGAAGTACCGCGATACCTCGTTTGAAATTGTGTTATCGTCATTATCGAGCGAAACACGATGACAGGTTTTGCGTTTTAATGTACACACGCCCGATTTAATCCAAAATTGTAAACGCCGACGATGCTCGGTGGAATTTTGTCGGCTTCTGATTTCGCGTACGAGTTCACGTTCCCTTGGACCAGACGATTTCGCATGTTCAATTTACCGTCATGCGATTATTATATGCTTTGCTCTTAGGCTAATATCTTCGCAAATGATATCGATGCGCATTTCGATAAAAAGAAAATTAAAACATTAAATGCATGACTAGATAAGATGGCAAACGACGTCGAAGAATGGAAAATGAATATTAGAGAAACAACGTTTATATATGTAACAAGTTTTAAATTACATGTTTTGTCACTTAACATACTACCTGCAAACCATAAGAAAGCTAAGTTTTCTTTGGTATAGATATTTGGCGAAGAATTTTTGAGGCTGACGTTTATCTTAAACGCAGGCTCTGTCGAATTGATAAGATTCTTCCAAGGATGCGCGTTTTTTTCGTTACGGCAACACGATAACGGTAAACAGATTCATGCGAATTTTCTCACGGACGCACACCCTGTACTAACGTAATGCATTATACTGTATGTACAACGTTCTTACAATAATCTTTTTTTTCTTTTCTGAGCGCATCCCGTCGGCCGCGAATCAGAGTCCGTAGTGTAATAATAATTACGTAGGGTCGCCTCTCTGTACACAGGCGGCGCAAAAATGATCACTGATTGCGACGCGTTGTTTAGGTATTGCACCGAAAAAAATTGCGACGGTGCCTTGTTCAGGTTTATTTATTGCACACTTTGTTCGAACGACCGTGTCGCATAATTTCGATGTTTAATCTGTCCAGACGTGTCTTGTGATTATATTAATTACGTTCCTCACGTAAATATGCATGTCTCATTGTTTTAATTACTTAACAAATAAATGCGAAGAAAGCGCGGCATTATGTGAATATTATGTTAAAATTGAAAAGGCTGCTACTTGGATAAATATTTAGAAAAATCTTTTTCTTCATTAAATTTTTCCATCTGTTCTATAACTTTAATGATCACAAAGTTGTTTAAAGTTTTTTTAATAAAAATAATACGCGTTTTTTAAATGAATTCTATATGCGCCGTTGAACGGATGTCCTGTGTCTGTTGCTTGTCGTTACTACTCACGTGATTGTCGTCCGTTACTACTTACGTTCGATCGTAAAGCTATGTGACTACTTGCGACCCGACAGTGACCTACAATTGTACGTAACTACTCGTTAGGGTTGGTCAGTGTAAATGTCTGTACTTCCTTTAAATTCAATAGAAATATATCTGCGAGTGCAACACTTGAATTTTTAATAATCCAGATGCATATTAAAAAATATACGCATACATGGCCTTGGCATTTAAGTTGGTCGACGAAAATTTAGTTAGAATGCAACCCACTCATTTAAATTAATGTTATCTCTTTTTCAAAGTTTCTCCTACACGTTATAAACATCTCATGTTTCCATGTTTAGAAGCACTCTTGAAACTCTTCAATTGAAATGCGTTACCGGTAGAGATGTCAGTTGAAAGTTCTTTCAACTCAATAAATGTTTGTATCACTTTGAGACAATACGCGCCATTGTTTCTTCCTTCTGCAAATATTTTTCAACAATTTCATAAATTCTTCAGCTTTAAATTTATAAGAAATTCGATATTGAGTCTCTGTTTTTAAAAATATTACTCGATATTTTTGACGCACAGTCAAGAGATAGTCTATTAAATGACCAATTACTGAGTGTTATCGAACGCTATCAAAACGAGATATATATTAAATGTAACAGACAACATATTGGTTGCATATTTAATTATGCTTCTCCAAGTGTAGGAGAAAAAGACGCTACAAAACTTAATCGCTTCCTCTGCTACTCTCATTCATTTGGAGTTAGAAATGTGACGGTTGCTTTGAAATCCGTTATACGAATGGATAATGTTGCAAACAAGTACGCGGTATGGACAGATTCGTGCAAGTACCTGAAACAACGTGCCTTCCGAGCCTGCGGGGGGGCGGGATAAGGGGCCGAGTGGTGCGCAATTTACGATTTCATGATGCCGCCGACGGCGGTGGTGACGGCGACGGCAACGGCAACGGCGACGGTGGCGAATGCGACTCCGTACTTTTTCAGTAGAAACGTTTCAACGCGGCGTACCCAGGGCACCCCAGTGCTCGGCGGCGGGTCATGCGTAATGTGGGTAGGTGCCGAGATGAGGTGGCACGTGTCCGGAGGCCGTGTGATGGCCGGCATACAAGTTGGCGCCCGGGCTCGTCGACCAGTAGCTCGACGCCGATTGGAATAGGCCGCCGGGAACGGAAACCGAGACCGACGCCGCCGGCGGTGGCATCAGGTTCAGCTTGGCGTGGCCGTAACCGGACATGAACAACTCGCTCTGGTATTTGTACGCCGCCGGATCGGCCGCCGCCGGCTGCGTCGCGGCTGCCAGCCCTTGAAAATCGAACTTGTACGCGTACCTCTTGCCGTGCACCTTCGTCATGATGTTCTTGTCGTAGTAGTACCTGCGAACAAACCGGGCGCACTATTCAGATTTTATGTTGGGCTTTATGATGGGTTCACATTTTCAGGGGCTAATATTCATGTGAGTTTTTCTCCCAAAAAATTTGTCGGCAAATATATATCTAAGTTTCGAGGACTGTTTGGCATTTCTAAATCTTAACTTTTTCTTCTTTATTAACTTACCGATAGATTCATTTTGACATATATGATTGTTTTGCCATAAAACATGTAAAACTGAGACATCGGAACTCTCTGTGTCTATTATACGGTAATTTAAATATTTATTGTTCGTCAAATAAGATTTATTTGTCGTTTTTAAGCTTCAAATTTTTATGATTTTAACTTTAATAAAATTATTTAAAATAATTACGATAATAAACTATGTACAAATTATAAGTGATTCAAAAAGACAATTTATTATTTGGTTGCTGTTCTTGAAATCACGTAAATATCACATATGTGTTATTTTTGAATCGTGTATATGTGATGGTTTCTTAAATATTTTGCTCTATACTTCGCGGTTAAAAAATATTGAATTCTAAACTCAACGTCTTCAATTCCGACATTGAAAATGAGCTTGCTTGTCCGAGAATTCTTATATGATGGGTGAAGGGATGTCAAAAAGAGCAATCGCGTAATATAATCAGTGGATCTGATGGAAAAATAATAGCCGCGTCTAGCATCGGTCTGACTGTCGATGATTGAAATTTCTCCCTCGTCCGCCACCACTCCCTGAGTCCCGACGACACCGACACATGCACACGTGCGCGCGAGGAAACGCGGAACATCCGAACGTTCATGTGCCGAACGAATTTACTTTCACCCCGAAACTTCGTCAAAACATAAATGATGGTCCGTTAATGGCTTTTCCATTTGACGTTAGCGAAAAACGCGCCGCTGCTATCGCGAACGCGGGACGCTGCGAATCGACGTGGCGACGGAGCTCGCGCCCGTTCTGAAACTCACCTCAAAGCCCTCGACAATTTGTCGTAATTCATATTAGGCTTGGACTTTCTCTCGCCCCATCGTCTCGCCACCTCGTCGGGATCGGTCAACTTGAATTCGCCATTGGTTCCTTCCCACGTGATGCACGCGGCGTTACTTGAGTCCGACAGAAGCTCGAGTAGAAACTGCCAAAGCTGTATCTGTCCGGAACCAGAGCTCGCGAGCCGACTGCTCGTCGCCCCGAACATTTGGTAGGGATCTGTGCGGGCCACAACAAATTCAGTACTTCACAAGTCTCATATTTAATTAATTAAACAAATCAGAGACTTATCTTCGCTAATAAATATTTAATAAAAAATGATTTTTACTCTCGACCCAACTGGCCACATTTATTAATTGTAACAATCACGACGTTTCGAACATTGGTTGTGGCCCTTTTCAAATTAAGTGTGAAAATCTAACAATAAGTCATAAAATAAAATTCATAATGTAACATTTCGCAAATACCCCAAAATAATGACGTGTGGCAGGCACAACGTCGTGATTATTACAATTAATAAATGTAACCAGTTGAGTCGAGTAAAAATTATTTTTTATATTTAATTATTACATTGCTTATGTAACATATATAGGAGATATTTTACTCTCAACACGGGTTCAAATTTTTTACCAGCACAAACATCGTTGAGATTGCTTCTCAAGATGCTATATTGCTAGTTTGTTAATTATTCATAAGAGCATTAAGCAAAATGTTTGCGTGATCTATACCAATAAACGTAAACTCCGTTTTCACACTGTGAATGAGCGCGAACGATGAAATTTTTCGCAGTTTCACGTAGGATATACCTATCCATTACACGGTTGTTTTTCAAGAGCTCCCGTATCACCCTTTAAAAGCTTTACAATGCGTCATCACCGACGCTCGCCGCCGCTCAGACATGAAGGGCCCTACAGCCATACAAAAGAACATAATCGCAACCCCACAATAGAATAGAATTCATTTGGATCATAATAATTTCAATTTGAGAAACTGCCGCCGAAGTGGCTTAAAGGGCGACGCGAATGTCTTGTAAGCTTTTCGGAGCTTTAAACGAGCGATTCGATATATCGATTTTTATTGTCGCAGTATTTTGCAACATGAAAAAGAGCGCAACAGCTTGGAAACTACAAAAGACAGTTTTTTTTCTCAAAACTTAGCTATACGGTTAGGATTTTAATTTCTGAAATGTTGAGTAGACACAAGTATAATACAAGTATTTATAAAAATAATATTTTTAGAACTATATATATATAATCTTTTACTTCATTTAAAAAAAAGGAATGTACAGAAAAGGATTTATGAGCTTATGAACAGTAATTGTAAATCAAGACTTGAAAATTGAGATTGTGATTTAACAATGGGCCTAATTAATATGTGTGAGGGTATACTTCGCAATTTATCGTAAAGAAAAAATGTCACAGACTTTCTAACGAGGAGGCTAAACGTCCTGATTTAATGATTTGGACGGTCTGAAAGAGCGAAGGAGAGCCCTGGCACGAGAACTCCAAGACGAACCCCATAAAAATACAAGTCGAGCGATTATGAGAGGGGGACAGACGCGGATGATGGGGACGGATTCGGAATTGCCGGACCTCAAAGGTCGTTTCGCCCGATGAATCCGCTGAATGCGTGCCGGAGTGATCGCCTTTCGATCGAACGGTAATTCACTTACAAGTTAATAATGGGAAGGGGCGCGGTACACCCATTTATCTGCCGGGAACGAGGGAACTGACGGGAGAAATACTGGGATGCGACTACGCCCAAGGATTCGACGCTCTTTTCTCATCGCGATTCGAAACTCCGAGGAATCGATGACGCGCGAAGTAACGGTGACCTTGTTTGATTATCGCGTAGATAAGACCCCTTTTCAGGTGAAAAGAGACCTTGTACTCCCAGTCCTATATTTAAGCGATTTTGAATGATCTATTTAATTTGTAATTCAGAACAAGACTCCGATACATAATTCATCATAATTTAGAAAACATATGCAGAGAATAAGGATTATATGCGCAACTGAAAAAAATGTCTTATTGTTGTGGAAAAAATGGCAAGGTATATATAATAGTATAACAATTATATATATACGCAGTTTGATATGTAAAATTGTAAATAAAAATTTGTGCAAAGTTCTGTTTTAAATTGTATGGATATTGGACCCGAGATAGGTTTTACACTATCAGCTGCAGTGAAATGAGATCTCTTTGGGATAACTAAATTAAAAATTTCATGCCTTCGAAACTTGTCAAACTTTAGTCCGATCTCAGAGACCGGTATTTTTATATTGATGACTTTTTATCAACAGATATTTTCGCAAGTAGATATTTCAATTAAATTAATTCGCTGGGAATACCTCGGACTAAAATTCATTTTAGATTGGGTGAAGTATGAGGAAAGAACGCTTTAACTTCTCAAAAATATCTACCTACTACATACCAGGCTGCCTGAGATGGCTGTGCGTGTCCAGTGCTGTCTTTGATAAGCTGCTTCCATAGCCTGAAACAGGATGTTTCGCATCCATGCATTACTCCCCATCGAAAATTTATAGGAGGAAATATATCTAGAACGTTAACGAGTAATTTTTTTCTTAAGAAATGGAGGAAGACCAGGATTTTCAAGTGGAATAGTGAAATACGGACGGCGCGATTTATTCGAATTTCTGCCTGAGCCGTAGTTTCCATCGTCACAGACGTGTAATTATCGTCGAAGGAGATGCCGGATAATTTCCGAGCACTTTCATGTAGCCTCGATGTCGCTCGTGGTGGATCGGGGATACTTCGATCGCGGGCGAGACGGCGCGCGGGAAAGTCATCGGTCCGAAGATGAAAAAGCGCAAACTCGGTCGAGCGTTAGAATCCGTTAGAGAGGATTTCCGTGTAGGCAAACACACGGGGCTGAGTGTGCTACGTGTACGTTTCTCTCCCCGTTCGTTTTCGTCGCCGTGTCATCCTCGTCGTAGTGTAGGCCTCCTCTCTTCGTCTTATCGCACAAATTCCCTTTTCGTACGAGCGTTTTTCGTCCGATAGCCGGGCGGTCACGTTCACGCACGGACGTGTGCAATCTGTTTAAGGGCACAATGCCCCTTAATTTCGGCTCGTTACACGCTCGCAGGCGATAGCCTGCGAAGGTCAGTCGCGATTGGCTCTACGTTATTTGAAAACCGGTAGAATTTGCGATTGTTTCTAAATTGGTTCGAAGACCGTCACGCCATTAACACGCCATCAATGCACATTTTATTTATATATTTCCAATTTTTACACTCCTGCATTTGCGGTTCAATAATCTTTAAGTTGTAGGCTTGAAAATCGTGCAGTCTTTTAAAAATGTTTTATTAACTGTTTGTGCGATACTTTTTATAAACGCAGTATATTATATTATACGTGTTATAACTTTTATCCAAGTGATAAAGAGTTGATAATTAGTCTCAAAAATTTTATTAGCTAATAATGTAACGTCGGCTTTTACATTCTTAAATTTTTCAGCTAAACATCCGTTTTTATTTAAAGATCGAATAGACATCATGAACTAACAATAAGTGCAGAAAACTGTAAGAAACATTCGTTCTCGTTTATGTACTCGCCAATATGTGTCGATTTGCGAAGATCAATGCGAACGATGTTTCCCCCATGACGATAACATTTTCGACAACGGTTTCTATGATAGAGCGACGTCGCGTCGGAATGTAGCGAGCCCCATGGGGCAGATGCTGCCTTTAAATAGCAGTCGGTGTTCGCTGTGTTAAACAATCTGATTTCGCCTCTGATTGGGAAGCGGGTACGTCCTTGGACGAGGGTTCCGGCCAGCCGGGGACGGCGTTCCCGGGTCTGTACGGGTCGTAGGGTCCGCCGCAATCAGTGTAGCCGCGGGGCTTCGAGCCGTCGTCGCGCGCGTTCGTTTCTCCAACGCAAACTCCGACACCGCGATCGAGATTCCATCGGCAGCATGTACAGCGGGTGTCACTGACGATGGCTCCATCGGATTTACGACACTGATTATAGGCAGTGTGAATTATGTTGAATTACCTAAACCCGCTTAGCCGTTATCGTTTTCGAGTATTATAACACGGCTATTCTTATTAGTATGAAAAAAAAGTTTTTCGTGTATAGTTCTTATTTATGGATTTTTAGATAAATTTGGAGTCAATTTTTCTCGACGAAAACATTGAAATATCAAAATTCATAACTTGCGAATGCATATTGCAAGCAATAAGATACTGAGAGTGTAAATAGATTCTTATAAACGGCCATTGTTTACTAAAAAATTTCACGTTAACTCCATATCTATATTTATTCGAGGATTATTTATTGAAATATTTAATGACAGATATGGAAAGCTTTACAACAAATAATAATCCTCTTTTTTCAGTATTTTTGCTAAAATAATTTCAATTATGGACTTTTCCATACTCTATACTTGCTTTTTTAAACAGTCCCTTGTATCCCTTCTTAATAAATGTGTCATCGAGAATTAGCAAAAAGTAATCTACGCGAAAATGTTGTTAAGCATTGTTTTTACAGATCGATCTTGCGTATTGTATCGTGATTCGTTTCGCGTCACTTCGAATCGACGAACGTGCACCCATTGTCGCGAGTATATCTGCGCATTCACGAGCAATTACACGGGGCGGGGTAATCCCGTTAGGCGGCATACAGCCTCCTCGAGGGAGGATCAAAGAACTCGTCGTCATTCCGTGCTGCTGAACTCTTTGGTAACCTCGGACGCGTACAATGCCGCTTTCGGTGTCGCGACGCCGAAAAGAAGGGAGAATCCCGGCGCGACTTTGGAGAAACTTTGGGCGCGTTCCAGCAAACACACCGACGCGGTCCAGACGAAATCCTCTCATTTGTTCGGTCATTCTTATCGTATCCAGATATCGTTCCGCCACGCTAATTTTGAGATGTCGCTAACCGAAAACTATCGGGATCGCGTCCAAATTGCATGGATATTTTAGAAGTATGTTTTACGAGGGTGGAATACAGAATACCTAAATAAAACATTTCACGGGATTACTTTAAAGCTTTGTTAATGTTTGTTTCGGTGCTTTGAAAATAAAGTAACTGACGCCATTTTTATTATTGTAATTGACAAAAGAACGTATTAGCTCAAGTCAAAAACATGGAGAGAGCTCTTGATATTAAATTCTGATCCTTCAAATTAACTACAAACTATGATTAATATATAATTAGTTTGAGTTTTATCTGTAATTTTATTATGTGTATACATATAGTGAATAATAATGGAATTGTGCACCATGCGATACTTTATCAAACAATTAAAACATGTACTTTGGAAAATTCTAAAATTTGCGTTAGAAGTATCTCCATCCGCTCGTTCACGCTCGACGATCAATTCATCGTCAGACTGTGGCCTAGATCCATAAATCTTTAGTCATATAGTCTTAAGTGGTACTGATTCATACGCAGTCCTTTGCACAGATCTATTTCAAACATAAATCACGTTGCCATGCGGTGTGTAATAATGAGTAAGCGAGCGTAACACGTCGAGGCTTGAGCGTAGCGAGTTGCTCGTATGAACTGTAAGATAGGAGAGTACTCTACACCTGCATACAAAGGTAAAGCTCCTGCATGCGGGTACGAAGTTCAGGCGAGCATTATTTTTCGCATCGTTCCCGCCAACGGCAACGTTCCGCCAAGCTCGTCGGAAATGTGCCGTGGAACGCGAATATTTTCCTCGCGTAGCTCAGCGAGGAGCAGTTTATAGCGAGATCGCGTGTCTCACTTTCTTGTACATGTGTGAAAAGCCGAAAAGAGATTTTCATAAACCGAGCAAAATCGAAAATAGATAGGAGGTATTGAAAACAGAAGAAAGATTTTCGGAAAATATTTAGAGAGTTCTTTTGTTAATTTTAATTTTATATATTACAGCGATTAAACGTTGTAGAGTTTTATACAAGTTCAAGAGTTTTATATAAGTGAAAGAAATAACGAAAGACTCGATAATGAAATTAAAATAATGTGGAGTTAATAAAGGGCATTTTTATGTAAGTCTTATCGCATTACCGATTGCGAATTAAGAATGCTGAAAATAAATTACGTCGTTATATCATAATTATTTATTCGTGACACATATGACACACAAAAATATCTGAAGTAGGTACTCCGTATCGACTAACTGTCCAGTAAATTGCCTTCTAAAAAGCGGAAGTCGCAGTTGTTAAATGAGGCTTTCTCAAGAAGTTAGACGTGCGGGCGATTCGTGCCCCGTGATGGAGGTAACATGTTTTTGTTCGTCAGATAAGGGCAGGCGTAGCAAAAGTTATTTGTAAGAGCGAGCTGCGTAGCGCGGAAAGAAAATTAATCGTTTCCTAATTATCGCATAGCGTGAATATAGCGCCGGCTCGGTAAAAGGAAAAAAGATTCTTGTCTTTGACTTGAGTTCCCTCGCACGATACGAGCGACCCGCAAGTATTGTTTATCATATTTTTCACGTATCCACGCGAGCTCCTTGCGCAATCTCTCAACAGGAATTCTTTCTCTCTTATCGCATTCCTTTGAAAAGAAGTGTGTTTATTTATAAGAAAAGAAAACGTAAAAAAGAGAAAAGATTATTAAATTTGAGATAAAATAAAGTGCTGGATGTAAAGAAACGTGATGTTGCACAATGAAAAATTTTGCGATCTATTTGCATGTTTGAAACATAAATCCCGAAAAGACTTTCAGTTCGTATCGCTTCTAACTTACAAATCTGTGTTTGTCGATATTATCTTTGTTAAGAAAAGACCTACTCCAAATTGATCAAAGAATTCATAGATAAAATATGGGACTCAATATTATTCTATATATTATTTTTATCCTTAGTGATGATAGCGGAAACCGGAAACTCTATTTTGACAATTTTTCGTTTCTCAGTTATTTTTACGCGGATGTTAATCGACATTTGACTCGACATTGACGGACGGATGTTTCAACTCACGACTTTTCGACGAAATCGGCTACTTTTTGCGCGTGTGGGCGATAGACGTTCGACTGCACACGGTTAAAGTGGAAACGCAATCCCTGCACCCCAACAAGGAATCAGAGATGAATGCGAGCCGATATGGGGGGATAGTCCCGAACGCAGGCAGCCATGCGTGAACGTGTCACGCATAGGCACGTGCCCGTGTATATACTACCGAAAGACATAATGCGAACGGCGACAGCGACTCTGACGACGTGTCCCGCAACCCCTGCAATATGCTACGGACGTTTCTTCCGCGCGATTCCAATTTACCCGGTCTTGTATCGCCAGGGATATAATAGTCCAACCGAGATGGAGCGTACTTCACCCAGTCGCGCCAACGCGTTTTTCCACAACGTGGAAAGGATCACGCGACTCGTAGCAGATTAGCATGCAATCAGATAGCGTTTCAAACTTTGCCATCAAAATTTTTTATCATAAATATAGCACCTATAAAGTTTATGCTCGAACTTTATAAATCAATTTTGTCAATTTTTTACTCGTATATAGTTACATATTTAGTCATTTTCACATTTAAC